TAAATAACTTGAACCAATGAGGTCGATGTTTTCTGAAATCAAGGCGAACAATAAGAAAATGAACCAATTAAAACATAGATTTAATGTTTTACAGGCTTGAAAGTTCCAGTAACTTGAATTAAAAAAACTTAGTTGGCAGAACTTGAAAAACTTAGCTGACACAACTTAATAAGTGTAGTTCTACAAAACTTAAAAAATTAAGTTGATGCCTTCAACTCAAAAATTCTGTGCAGCCGGTTGCCTTAAAATTTTGAGTTGAACTAACTTTTTCGTTTTTACAGTGCATTGTGAACCATTAAGCATCGACAATGTTTAAATGTTTACCGTAATCAGTGGGAATTCCTCACACCTTGTTACATTAATGCATTGATCAGCAGTATGGCTCACATTGAAACAGAATTATTGTGCATACTTTGATTTTGAATTTAGGCAGTTCCCCATCATCAATGTTGCCAATTTCACTCTCTCCAAAATCTGCGCACATCCTACAGATAAATAAAATTTCACTCTAAGTTTGTTTTTTTTATTGATTACAACATTTGATTAGAAGTTGGCATTCACAAGTTTCAGGCCTCTTTTTGTTGGTATGTAAGCTTTATAAATGAGACCCCAGATGTGTAAAGAATACTTTTTTATTTTACTTTATTATGAACAAGTACTTATTGTTACTTGTGTTTCCCTTACCTAAACCTGGATAAGAAAAACCAACATGCCTGGTTTAAAAATATGGGGATTTAGATCAGTGTTCAACCAGACTATATATGTTTAAAGACTACAAAGCATCTTAGGAATTATGCATATAGCAGGTGTGTTCAAGGCTTCTATTTGGGTGATCAACAACCTGTCGATCATATTAAAAGCTTCCAAAAGCTACAACTCTCTCTCTTTTATAGTTTGTCAGATGTTTTGTGTTGTGTACCGTGTAGGTCAGCAGCTCCCAATGTCTATCGTTCAAGCTGAGGTTGGAGCTTTCAACAGACATTTGCAGAAACTCCCACTCTCCCTGAGTCCTCATTACCTCTCGGGAAAATTGCGTGGCTCGAGAAGAATTTGAGAATGGAAAAATCCGCATTTCTTTTACTGTTGGGAGAGAAAAAGATGAAAGAAGGGTTACATTTGCTAAATTGCCTCTCAGTCAATACAAGTGAAAGCTTTAATGTGGAAGAAAAACTGCAGAAATGGTCTCAAAAGCTGTAATTTTATATAGATTTTTATTCCATTTATAAACTGAATTGTTTCAAACACTAACAAGCAAGGCCGCTGGAAGTACTCTTGAACAGGGAGTGCGCTGGAAATGTTTTTGGACTAAAGACCTATGAGCCTATAAGCCTATTTAAAATACAATTAAAAAAAAAGTAAATAGATTGAGATTCGCTACTTTATTTTCATATACACTTCAGTGCACTCAACCAGTCTGTAACACACAGACAGGTCAGTATATGCGCTATTAATTAAACTTCACAATAACACTATAACAACGTAGATTTGGTCAGCTGTGTCTATGTCACATGACACTATTAGCGTTACTATTAGCCCCAAAATCCTTATACGTGAACAACAAAGAAATAATTATATTATTATACTATTTATACATTATCTAACAGTTCTCCACATCCATTACTGTACACAACACAAGATCAAAATAACACTCTAAAATACTATGGTTACATTAAACTGCATGAATCTGAATACTGCATGAGTAGATATGAAAGTGTGTGGCGGTGTGTCATATTTCCTCCTCGTTTTTGTCATTAGACTATGTAAATTTACTAGTATGCTGTTGCGAGCGGGATACCATGCCCTGGCTTGCTTGACGTGCCATGAGAACGTAACTTACATTAAGTTGTGTTGATTAGGCGTCAAAATTATTAAATTAAAATCCAAATACACGTAATATTAAAATATGAAAAGGTGAAAATCATTTGCCAAAAATATTCATAAGAAATTTATAAACTGTGCAAACAGTATCTTAATGTTTTTTTTTATCGCCCTCTCACCACTAGGTGATGCTGCAGCACCCCCCACTTCCCGCGGCCATGCTAACAAGTAGTACAGTGGCTCTGGCTAGGGTCCCAAAATTATGTTTTTTAAACATTAAAGTAATAAACATTTTTAACAATTTAAGAAATTAAAAATAATCAGAGTTTTACTCTTCTCCGTATTATTATATCGTCACTGCTCTTCATCATCTTGCATAGGAGTAAATTAGATATCCCTTAAAGATTTTTATTCAGGGTGTGTCTCTATGATTAACTCTGTCCTGTAACCTTGAGAATTTTATTGTACATGTAGATTTCCAGTAATCCAGAATAAAACAAACCTAAAATACTGGGGTGATATGAAGAAATCACTATAAATAGAGCCTAGATTCATTTTTCAATCTTGCAGACTCTGCCAAGCAGTACCTGAATATCCCAACTGCCACATCATCCAAATCTACCTTTGCCAATCTTATTCTGCTCTCCAAGCCTCCTCAGCAGCCAGTAGCATCCCCGACTCTCCTTTATAAGCTTCCTGAACACGGTCAATGTGTCTGCCATTCAACCAAAATGCAAACTTCATTCACTCAACATGTCGAATTCTGACCTGAACAGCCGTGCCAAGTTTATGCTTCCTTCAGTGCCAGAATGTTAGAATGCCCCCATCCCTCATCTCTCCACGTTAAGGGGGCATTGCTCTGCCACTGTTTAATTTCTGTTCAGCTTCCGAGCCTTCTTCCATGTGGCTTTGCTTCTCAATTCCTTCCTCCTCCTCGGCCACAACCAGTTGCTCCCTCCTTTGGAAAATCAACAAGCACAGAGGAAGCCCTTCTCCTTTGCTCCAACCTCCTATCTCAGATTGGCCTAGGCATGTTTTCAATCTGGAAGACTCTGCCAAGCCTTAATGCATTTCCAGAATACCACCTCTTTCGGATCTATCTCCCCAATCTCTGCTCTCAAAGCCTCCTCAGCATCAAATACCATCCAAGACTTTCATTTAACTCATCTCTGCACGTGTCTGCCTTCCAACCAAACTGTAACTCCTCCGTTTAGCTCCCTCCCTCTGTCAGGCTCCTGTCAACCAGTGTCCAGGTTTCAGGGGGAAGACATCTACATTCTCATAAATAGCCCATTTTATCATCATCAGCAATGCTAAGCTATATACCTTCTGCTCGGGTCAGGGTGCAAAACTTCAAAGTTGTAGAAAAATTAGGTTTCAAATCTTTGATTAGTGCAATTTACCTTTCTGCTTCCACCAAGTCTAGTACAGCAAAAAATACATTTTAACACATTTCTTGGTCAGACAAAAGAACTGTTGCTTAGAACAGTTCTAATTCTCAGCTAATGTAGCTTGCCACTATCAGTGTATGTGTGTGAATAAATGGGTGAATGACTAAATGTAGTATACAGCGCTTTTGGTCAAGTCTCCTGAAAAGCCCTTTTTAAGTACAGGCCATTAACCTTTTCCTCATTGCTTTCTGCTGATAAACTCTGGATACAACTCTTTCTGTTGCACATCTTGTCTACCCCAACATTATAGCAGCACCTATCTCAAACTCCATCTGTCCTCTGTGGAAGAATCACAGATCAAGTCTCTGAACAACCCTGCAAAACCTTCCCCTGGCGGCCATTTCCATCTCCAAGATCTCAAGTAAGCGGGATTTTTAATTCAGAAAATCATCTTCAAGATCCCTAATTGCTTCTGTAGCCATTGCATAGACATAAGTCTATGTTGCACATTTCATTACTCTGTATTCAGGATGTGATTTTTCTCCTGAGAGTTATTTCTGCATGTGAGTTAGAAGTCTCAAAAAAAATGTCACACCAGCCAGATCTTTTTTAATATGTTTAGATAGTTTGTGTAATTTATGGCTGTCAATTAAGTGCAAGTTCACTCCTCCATTTGGTTCCAATACACTCCTACTGTATCCTTTCATATATGTTAACCATGAGTATGTTTTGCCAAATTCTAAATGTTTTCTTTTTCAATAAATATTAACGGCTTTAAGAATTAGGGAGCAGGCTGAGCTACAAATAGCGCCATTATGTTACCCACCACATATAATACCCACCGCAGTATATTGCAGAACCGATGGACATGCTGCACTCTTGAGTATCAAAAGGAAACTTGTGGACGTCCATCTTGCAAGTGCTAACTACCCGCATGTCCTCATCATAAAAGATGGTACCATTATGATTTACGATCATGTATGGGTTTGGAGGAGACTCATCCTTCTGTATCCTGAAAAAACATTAAGGTAGAGACACACTTTTTAATGTCTTTCAACATGTTTCATGCTTACATTGAACTTAGACTTAGACAGATTTTATTTTGTCATTTTGTACACACAAGCATATACAAAAATAAATTACGTTGAGTACAGCTCTCTGTTGATTCTGTTAATTCAACTCCGTTGAACAGATGCTGGACTAATTTTGTTTGCTTTAGTGTTGTACTAAATGTACTATAAAACGGTTGTGTGTACTTTAATAAAAGTAAATACACAATAAAGTTGATTACATCTGCAAATCCAGTAACAGAAATTATTAAATTGTAGTTTATCATCATAGCTGCAGAATCACCATAGCTGACTCTATATGAAATATAGTTTTTATTGAGTCTTAAATTTACTCTGTTTATGTGTCTTTCCATAAATTACAGCACATAGTATGCAAAGAAAACCATGTGCTGCATAAAGACATCAGAATTTGAGAATTTAAAAGAAACACTGTGTAAATTTTACCAGTTGTACTTGACCAGTAACCTCCAGATTTAGTATCCCCGGGCCCGCAGGCTGCTGTCAACATTACACTGTGGCAAAATCAATCAGTCTTGCTCTTTTTGGAAGCTAATAGCAAACCAATTTGAACCAGTAGATTGAGTAGCCATGGAGTTACTTGACCTGCAGGCTGAGTCCTGATGACTGAGTTGCTAAATGCTGCTCATGAAATAGGACTCAAGATTCAATGCACTGGATTTTACTTAAGGGGATAGGCAGGCACTGTTCAGAACTGGGGATCGGCTCTGTGGTGAGTTCAGGTCCGGGCCGGACGTCCGATTGCGGACGGGGCTTGAGGGAGCAGGGCCGTTGAGCGGCAGACGTTTCTTTGGGGACCCTGACTGGTGTGCTCCAGTGACAATATGATGTCCAGAGAATGAGGTCCAAAGGGCAGTACAAAGGGGCAATCCAGAATGCAGGTCAAGGTCTGATCACTAGTAGGTTCAGAGATGCAAAGGGGTTAAGCAGGTTCGGTAACTCACTGAGAGAGTGGGGGTCGGGCTCACAGCCGGACATTCCAAGGCAGAACAGGTGCAGAGGTCCAGAGGCCGGTCGGCTAGTGTTTCCGGGTGGGCAGACAAAATCAGATAAGGGAGGCTCGATGATAAAAGGCAGAATCAGGTCAGGTAACAGATAGGCAGACAGTATCAGTAACGCTTGAAAGTACTCAGTGGTTAGCCTGAGACGATCTGGCACTGGGAACTGATCCAAATGAGGTTTATAGGGGAGTGGAGACAGGTTGCCTGGGTGCCATTCCGAACTTAGTCCTGCCCACAACGTTTGAGGTCGGGAAGTTCGGTCTGGCATTGCTCAGTAGTAGCGCGAGTATGCTCGCACAATATCTGGCGGGCCAATCAAATTGTTAGGGCAGGCTTTATACGATGATGGACAGATGATCAACAGTAACGTAATCAACCATGTGACCAAAGCGCGCATGGGTGACAACAACAATGGCTGCCGCTGGAGAGTTTAGGTGAGTAGATTCTGCTATTAGGTCTGTTCTAGAAGATATCGACAGCAAATTAATTTTAAAAGAGGAACAGAGAAACGCAATCAAGGCTCATCTTCTTATTCTAGGCGTGCAACTGCACGCTTTGATTTTTGTTGACAACAACTATGCCATACGTCACGCACTCCGTTGCTCTTATTGGTTGTAGGTCTATCCAATTGAGTGCAGAGCCATTTTTTTCCTGGTTTGTTCGAAACACGCCCCATAATCACAGCTCTATGGAGCAGTATCAGAATCATATTCTGACTAGAATTGAGTAGGACTACGTCAGGCTAGGAGACAGGTGGAAACAGTGAGATATAATAGCAGGCAGGGTGGAGATGAGCAGGTGTGCCGAGTGGTGGATTAGGCTCATGTAGTGACCAGTAGGAGGGTTAATGTCTGTGTGCCTATCATGTGAGTTCTCGTCTTTTCATGTTTTATTACCCTTTTTTTTTACCATTGTTTTTACCCTCCTGCAAACACAATTTCATTCAGTGGACAATAAAAGTAAAGTTGAAGTTAAAACTGACTTGTAAAGACAAGGTAACATTCACACCTCTCGAATTTAATCCTACATCAGAGAACCAAAAATATCTGTTTTAATGGCTAAATGTAACCGATAGCTTAGTTAACTCTTGTGTTTAAGGGCAGCTCAGACTGCCGTAAAATGCCACTCAAGATCACAAGACCTATTCAGAGATGTTCCGACCATCTCCAGTTATAAAGCTGAGATTTTGAGGAGAGCAGCCCTCACTGAGCATCAGTGTGTGGCAAGTGGTACATAATAACCTCAGTAATCATTCAATATATCTTGAATTAGATTAATACATTGGTCAAAAGTTACCCCGTGTGGCCTTAAGTAAAAAATAAAATAAAACACTGATCCAATACTGCTTCTTTAGATATGTCAAATATATAGAAGTGAAACATTTGGAATCTGATCTTCAGAAGCTATGTCTTAAAATAAGTGCATGTTTGAAGAATGTGTAAAATGAATATGCAGATCATACTCTAATGACCAAACCATGCAAATGTAAACAAATACAATGTGCAAAGCAATTAACAGACAAAGACAGCTTTCTTGTGTTTTATATTTCATTGTTCAAAAACCTATGGAAAATGCTCTATAAATATTATTTAGGATTATAATTACTGTTTTTCAAACATTTGTTATCATACAGTATTACCTCTAACTACGTGGCTTACAACCTCATCTTTCTTTTATGATGAAACACAACTGCCTGTGAACATTCAATCCGCTCATTTTTATGGGCGGAACCAAGACAGTTTGTATGCCTTACCGTTTGTCTATCCCCAGAACATGCCCACTTATTGCATGTGCTATAAAAAAAATTACTTTTATTATTTTGAGTCATCGAAGATCAGGCTCTTAACCAGGCACATCTATATGTTTAACTTTTTATGGTATTTTGTTTTCTAAGTAAGTTCTAAAGATAATTCATTATAAAAATGATAAAACTAACTTTAGCTCATTACAAAATGAATAAAACTAACTCCATGCTCTGGTGTTTTCTAAAAGTGAATTAGGATTTGACTTCGTCTAATTCTTGTATTCCAGTGGGTTTCAGCTTTGGATATGTCTCACAACAACATCCAAACTAATGTGGCTGCTCCTGCATTGAACCTTAATTTTGATACTGAAATAAAATGTTCTGTTATTTTTTTTAATTAACCTTAAAACAAAGTTTGGCATTAAAACAGCAACACATTTACCTTATTATACGAACATATAAGAACATTTTCCTTTAGTGGACTAGAAAACAGTGCACAGAATCAGTCATGACATTTTTTGTATTTCAATTTGCATGTTTCAATTCCTATAGTAGATGCATATTATTATGCAGAAGCAATACTTTTCCCACAGATGCTTGAATATATCACAATTATGTCTTTTCTGATATTGAGATGAAAAATGTGGGTGTCTATATGCTGAAGGCTTACATTTCATAGATGAAAAGGTCAGGTTTCCAGAGCATGTCTTTAGGCACCGAAATCTCAGTGATTCCACAAAACTGAGATGGGTCCCAAGAGATTCGCTCATCTTGCCATTGCTGCAATAAAAGTGAATTAAATGAATTAAGTAACTGAAATCAACCAACAAAGGAATAAAAAGTTATACTTGCTGTTATCATCAATGTTTGTCGAGGTATGAAAGAAAATTTCTTAAAACTCACCACTGATACCCAGACGAAAGGTACAAAGGTTTGTGTTTTCTCAACCTAAGAATAGGAACACAAACAATTTCAGAAAATCTGGTTTAATTTAATTATCTGGCGACATTTTCTAGAGAACGATTTAAAATCAAATAGGTTTTGGGTGCATATCTTGCACTGTTTAAAATGTTTAACAGACCTTTACAATGATTGTTACTTACTGAAGGATGTACAAGTGACTGATTTTGAGTTCTCCCTATCAGCATATAACATATAAATGATTTGGATCACTAGAATATATTGATCAGGACATCCCTAATGATGAGTTATATATGTAAAGAAGCCCGTACCACCGACAGAATTGCATAGAGGATGATGTCCGACTTCACCACTGTGACGTGTGTGTGGTCCAGAACGGGTCGGGTCAGTTTAAAAACAGAGTTGTCTGCCGTCAAGTTCAGGTAATCCAGAACATCCTGATAACTGCACACTTCACAGGAAACCCCATCTAAAGAAAAAACAGTTACAAACAGAAATATAGTCATTTTGTATTAGATCAAAATTTCCCTCTGAATAAATGTTTTCCATAATTTGTAGTGCAGAAGAATTAACCTGTGGTACCTATAATCTAATAAAAAAACATCTGTATAGATAATTACTATAAGAGTGGCCTTTCCACTGAGCACTGATATTTATTTCCATTCATCAGGAGCACCCTGAGTGCTTTAGATAAATAAGAATTTGAATTGTCATGTTTCACATCTGAAACAAAAGGCTTACTTGGTTCTGAAGATGATTTAAGTAGAACATGCACATAGGTTGAAGTCAGCAATAACACCAATAGAGCTATATATACTTAAAGATTCAACAAGTATGTACAAGCCTGATGTAGCTCCTAAACTAAAGTTTTGTCACATATATAAGTGGATGTATGTGAGGCTAAACTCTTGTTTGATGGAAAACAAATCTTTGAAAATTGTTGATTAAAAGCATACACTGTCTATTTGCAATAAAGACAATCAATAGCCCATAATGGAATTGGCTATTTAGAAGAACTTACCTATGATGGTACAAAGCAGAACGAAAGAAACAAGCATCATCTCAAGAGCTTTTTGCAGGCTTGTGGGACCCGGGTGGTTGTCCTTTATTCTTAGCAGTAAAGTCCACACTTAAATGAGCCATCCCACTACCGTGGTGATGCGTGACAGATAATTAACTTACAACCGAGGAGACATTCATTGCCTGCTATGTATCTGGCTTTGCTTTTATTCTGCTGACAGCTGTTTACGGCAACAAATGAGTTACAAAAAGCCAAACTAAATATAAAAGACAGGTGGAGGACATCTATTAGTTTAGCATGAGAGATAATGTGACTTTACAGCTTGCTGTCAACAAGCAAGATTTAGCTCTGAACTTGTGACTTCAGCCAACTGTTACCAAAGAAGATGATGCAACAGATAGAATTTGATTAGAATGGAACCAAGGCAACGTGAGAGCAGCATTATGAACACTGTCGCCATTACAACCCACTTGTTTTATTGTTGCCTCCTGCCAGTCTAACTGTGGGTGTTTCATAAAGGTCTTTAAAAGCCTGGAAGTAATGGCTAAAATGATAGAATATCTAATAGTTGATTGATCAAAGACAAAGTATTATATTTCTAGAGTTTATTTAATTGAGGTTTAATAATTTGTTGACTAAATTAATTCTCCCTCAGTTAGTTTATCAGAAACTAAAATTAAACATATTACCAATTAAAAACCATTCTTAAATCTGAAACATCATTATCAAAACATAAAGATATTTAGCTCAATGCACGCTATCAATGTAGGTTTTTATCATTAAATACATATGTGGGTTCTTGGTAAGATTTAAGATAAAAATGCATTTGCATGAATACACATACATATCTATAATGTATAAGCGTTCAATTATTTTTCAAATGTTTTACATGAATTTCCAAAACACACAGAAAAATAAAAATCAAAAAAGCATACCCGACATATATTTTTTTTTATTGTTGTTCCCTCTATTTTTATGTGATGTTTAGTGTAATGTTATGCTTTTCTGGAAAAAGAGTTTCACCTGAAATAAATGAATTGGAAATTTGATTTTGGGGTTTATTCAAATTTAACTTTCTCTCCCCGAGCATGGCCTACATTTAACAACCACTCTGCAATGCAAGATAGGAGTATATATAGCAAGCCATTAGCAGCAGCAGCAGCTTATAACATTAAAGCAAGGAACTCAGGAGGTATTAAATGAAAAATGACAGCAGTTTACCTCAGGAAAAAAGAACAGATCATTTTTATTTCATCAATACATCTCATATGTATTAGTTCATGACATACATGCTTTTCTTAAACTATAAAATGTGAATAAATCACTTTTTCTTTTACACTGTAAAACATTTTTATATATATAAGTCATTCCTTTTCCTAAAACAAGTTCATTTTCCTTGAAATAAGCAGGTGAGACACTTTACCAATGGAATAAGTAAATTTGCATTTAAAATAAGAAAACACTTCTGTAGTCTCTTATTTTATGCGCATAATATCTAATTATCTTATTTTAAGGGACAAAATTCTCAATCCATTGGCAGATCATCTGATTTTCCTATTCAAATCGAGGGTAAATACACTTATTTTAAGAAAGTTTTACTCATTCAATTTCCAGCTTCATATTTAGAACATGGACAAAAAACACTATTAATGTAAACCATCCCTGCAGTTTAATACTGTCATTTTGCAGGGGGTTCTTATTATTTAAGGACCTGCAGCTCTCTGTTGGGGATAAAACATACGCTACACTAAGAACAGCAGCAAACTTTTAGGGACTCCTCCTACCTGACTTGGGGGCTAACTAAGCTTTTTCTGGGATACTTTTTTAGTTTTTTTTGAGGTGAGTTTTTTTTTTTTTTTTTTTTTTGGTACCTGTAGCCTTTTTAATATTTCTCTTGTCCATTTTTCTAAGATTGCAGCAATTTTTGTTTTGCTCTTTTTTCTGCATGTCATTTTTTGTTGTGTAATCATTTTGTAGTTTGAATCACTCTGTGTTATATCGCTGTAGCATTTTTGTTTTGCACTTTGTCTGAATGTTTGTTTGCATTTTCCATTTCGTCTGCAGTGCCTTTGGCTCAGTGTGGCCTTTTTTAGCCGTGTTCTGTGTTCTTGAACCTGTTAGCCACTCTAAATACCACTTACCGAAGGCAGCAGTCTTAGCAGAGACTCCCAGATTTCCTTCTCCCCAGAGACCTTCTACAGCTATGCTGAGGGAAGACCAACACTCCCAGTCCCGCAGAGATACATAATCCCTCCAGCATAGTGTTAGAATAATTGATGAGGTGAGTTTATAACACCTTAATATTTAGCTGCCTGTTGCATGTTAGAACTAACCCACAATTGTTTATCTAAATAAGACAGTTTGTCTGTCCGGATATACAGTTATAATCATTCTGCACGTGGCAAAGATTTGGAAATGGAATGAGAGAGGTGTCCTTCAGCTAAGCACAAAGTGTTATTTTGATAAGGCTGGAGCCATGGATGTCTAATCATCTGCTAACGTGTATGATGTAATGATGTGATAATGTGGCATACTAGAGATGTATAAAATGCCTCTTTAACTGTTAATCATGGCCGCTTCCTGAGAGGTGAGCCTGGGGGTGTGCAGCTGCCTTCTGTAACTCTAAGCAACTTTTCTGATCTGATTAAGATTAGGATTTCTACCTAAATCTGTTGTCATGTCTGATGGTTATTCAATACATATAAGTTATGAAGTGTTATTGAAAGAGTTTGTCCAGAGTGATCTCTTTTCAGAAAGAAGAACTGGAGAGAGAAAGCTTCAAGGTGCTTATACAGAGTCTATCTTTAACAATAGTGAAAGAAATGCTGGAGGAAAGTGTCTCCATACCAGCGTGTCCTGGAGACACCTCCCAATGGGCATGTCAAGGAGCATCTTAAAAAGATTTTCGACACCTCAGCTGACTTCTCTTGAATTGGAAAAGAAGTCGCTCTACAGAGCTCCTCATCTCCTAGGGAGAGCCCAGCCACCCTGTAGGGAACGCTCATTTCAAGCCGCTTGTATTCAAGATCTCTTTCTTTGAGTCTTCATCCAGGTGAGGGTAGGAACGTAGACGACTGCTAAATCCAGAGCTGTGCTTTTTCGCTACGCTCCCTTTTCACCACAGCAGACCAGTGCAGTGTCCTCATTAAAGCAGCAGCCACACCGATCCATCTTTTCATTTCCTGCTCCATTCTCCTCTCACTCGTCACTTGAGGCAGGAATTCTCCTCCCGACAGAGGTTAGAAAAACAGAACTCAGATAAAATAACTGTCAATGTCTGGTTGAGGTTTGAGGACCCCAATACAGAGGAAGGGAGGCAGAGGTGAGTTCTTGCAGTTTTATTTGAATGATCACAGTTAACAGAAGCAGGAAATCAAAAATCCAACTTAAAATGTTAAACTAAGCAGAATCATGGAGACATCAGGGAAAACAAGCACGAGGAGCCAGGAAAAGACGAGGAGAGACGAGGAACCAGCACTAAGGAACTGCACAGGGAGGGTATTTATGGTTGACTGAACAAAGGCAGGACTAACAAGCTGATTGGGAGCAGGTGAGAATAGAGGCTTCTAGAAAAGAGCTAGGGAAAAGGAGACCAACACCAGAGGGCAACAAAGAAAAGCCTAAGAACTCAAATACATCCAAAAACACAACATTGGCAGATAGAATATATAAACTTATTTTAAGAAAGATTTACTCATTCTTAGAAGGTTTTTGCAGTGTATAATATTCAGCTTCATATTGAGCTCTTTGTTGGGGAAAAAATCTATTTGTTTGAGTTGATATATTGATGTTCTGTGTCTAAAAACTAGTGTAAAATCTGTCACGCCTGTGGGACTTAAATAGCTTTGCCGCATGTATTCAGTTCAATCTGCTTTGTGAATTTAGTGAAACTAAATAGTATCACCACTGATACCTTTTACAAATCAACATACACAGGTTAGATCTACAATAAAGAATCTGTTGGAAGCAATTTGCTCATATTTCTAGGATTTCCATTCTCTCCAGATGAGGAACAGAAAGAGGGAAATGGTGATGGTGTAGCAAACAAAGAAATATCTGTTGATCCTTTTGGCCCAGGACACAAATTTCATTTTCTCATCTCTGCCGCCCAGATGAATGTAAACTTTTTTCTGCAGCTTCTGCAGCTCGTCCAGGATCAAGAGCAGCATGCGAGACTCTTCTGACTGAAGGCTGCTGTAAACCTGGAAACAAGTAGATGACATTGTTTTTTATTGCTGGGTGCCCACACATTAGCAAGCTTAGCTAGTTTTTAAGGAGTTGTTAATTACCAACGTGAGATGAACTAAAAAAAAAACCTGGGCAAAAAGCCTTCAATAATTTGGAAAAAAAAAAAAATAAAACTGATTGCATTTAAGAAAAGTTATCAATAGACATTTAAGCTTATTTATTAAACTGTCTTTAAGATTTTATAAACCAAGAAGCTTTTAAAGAGTGTAGCGTAAAAAGTATGATCAGAGGTGTCAAAAGTATTAATGTTTATTAGTCAAGTAGAAGTATAAATCCTTCTATTTAAAACAAGTTTGTAGAAATTAGGGAATCAACTTAAGCTTTTTACTCAAGTAAAAGTGAAAAAAGTAAAAGTTTTTAACCTTTCAGTGTAAAAGTAAAATATGCTTTAAATATACTGCACTATAATATTAAAGGAACATTTTTCTATAATTCTGCATGATAATTTCCTTATATTTATTTTTCTTAGTTTTATATCTAATGGTAAAACTTTCAAATTCAACTGTGCCTCATCTCGAAAAAACTTTAGATTTTCGTATCTGGCGAGATGGTGCAGCGACGATTCAACCACAAACAAATACATTTTCTGGATGAAACTAATTATGTTGATGTTGTAGAAAGTATAGATAATTGCAAAAAAAATGTAAAGAGTAGAAGAATGATCTTGGAGCTGATGGCTGGCATTGTTGCTCATTCCATTCACTTGTCTAACTCTGCCTGGTTGCTCATTACCGCTCATTTGATTCACCTGCTTATGCCTCTATTTAGTGTGCTTGCATCCAGCTATCAGGGCCAGATTATTCTCGTCCTCATGGTCCAGTGATGAGAGGCATTTTGTACATGCCATAACGTGT